ATATATATATATATAATTATCTTAAATATTTTTAGTACGTGACCAATATTGATAGTAAAGCTGTATTCCGCACAAATAAAAATGCACCTAATTACAAGCTAGTAGCTATAGATTTATTGGATTACGAACAACACAAATGGGTTGATCTTTTGCCAGAACATCCTGAGAATGTATTAGATTGGGCTGAAGCTGTGGATGGAGACAAATTTGTTGCCTGTTATATACAAGATGTTAAGGTATATATATATCTAAAGTATTTAGATTGATTGTAATAAAAAAATTAACAATTAATTTCTTATAGAACATTTTGCAACTGCATTGCTTGAACACTGGTAAAGTTCTTAGAACATTTCCTCTTGATCTTGGTACTGTTGTTGGATTCTCGGGAGAGAAGAAATTTTCTGAGATATTTTATCAGTTTACATCATTCCTAACCCCGGGCATTATATACACAATCGATTTAAAAAAAGAAGAGGAGCCACGTGTTAGTATCAATCTTTTTAAACTATAAGTATGATTTGACATACAATATGATACTTTTTTTATGTAATTATAGCTTGATTCGATTATTGGTATTATTTTCAGATCTTGCGAGAAATCAAAGTAAAAGATTTTGATGCGAGTTTATACAAAACTAGTCAAATATTTTATAAAAGCAAGGATAGTACAAAAGTACCCATGTTTATAGTAACAAGAAATGTACGTAAATTATTAAAAAAATCAATATTAAAATGTGTTTAATTATGAGCTGATTAGATCTTTGATATACAGCGATTTATAAGAATAGTTTAAGATTATAATACATTTTTTTATGTTTCTTCTCATCAATATTAAAATAAAAAAAATTTTAACATAGGATGCTACATTAGATGGAACTATGCCAGGCTTACTTTATGGATATGGTGGTTTTAATGCAAGTATTCAACCTACATTCAGTGTTACAAGACTTGTTTTTATTCAACATTTCAATGGAGTACTTGCAGTTGCTAATGTTCGTGGAGGAGGGTATGTAAGACATTCGTAATACTGGGAAAATATATACATATATATAAATATCTTTTTGGATAAAAAATATTATTCTTTGTTATAGTGAATACGGAGAAAGATGGCACAATGCAGGACGCTTCTTTAATAGGCAAAATGCATTTGATGATTTTCAATATGCAGCAAAATATCTTGTAGAAAATGGATACACTACCTCTGCGAAATTGACGATTCAAGGTGGCAGTAACGGTGGTCTGGCTGTTGGTGTATGTGTAAATCAAAGACCTGATCTATTCGGTGCTGCCATAGCTCAAGTGGGGTTAGTTAAATTTTTTTACTTTATTTTTAAATTACCGGTATATGACATGTACATGCATGTGTGTAAAAATATTAATTTTCTTTTAAATTGCAGAGTTATGGATATGTTACGTTTTCATAAGTTTACTATCGGTTCTGCTTGGGTCTCGGATTATGGCAATCCCGATGATCCCAAGCATTTCGAGAACTTATTGAAATATTCACCTTTACATAATGTAAGAATACCACCAGATGATATACAATATCCTGCGATGTTGCTTTTGACTGCTGATCACGATGACCGTGTCGTACCTTTGCATACTCTTAAATTAACAGCCACTCTTCAATATACACTTGGAAATATATCAAAACAGAAAAATCCTTTATTTGCAAAAATAGATACCAAAGCAGGTCATGGCAGTGGAAAACCAACCATGAAAATGGTAAATATTTCTGCAAACGATTCGTATTTAAGCCAATATGTATAAATGATTTTATTTAGAAAATATCAGGCATAATGAAATTTTATTATATATAATTTTTTTAGATTGAAGAGAGTACTGACATTTTATCATTTATCGCGCAATCCTTGGGCTTGGAATTCAAATTGTAATTAATGCTTAAAAAAGTCTAAAACTCAACAGATTTTGCATAAAATCAATGGATTGTAATGTGATGTAACTAAACGCGCTTATACGATTGTCATGTATATTGCAACATATTGTAAAACCAAGTATGCTTTTATTGCAAGTTCTTTTATAATAACGTGTTTTTTATGGAATAAAGTTAAGTAAATTTGTACTTTACGACAGTGTTTATATAATATGTGTTCTTTTTTTTCATTTTAAGTGTAATAAGCATATAATCGAGCATTAAGAAATATTGAATAAAGTGCTAAATGTTTGTTTTAAAATAATATTAAAAAAATACATGTAATAATTAGCTACCTTTTACTAAAACGTTAATCTCTCTACAAAAATGTCTCCATACTTTTTATTTGTTATACAAGAAAAAAATAAACCTAAAAAATTTTTTTAAAAATAACTTATGAAGTCTCTTATTGTTAATATTCACTGATGTATCATTAATATATATTAATGTTATAATAAAAATTAGCAACATTTCTATGTTTACACTGAGGCAAGTATCCTTGATATAGTTGTACGTAACTATGTATATAACTCAATCAGAAAATAACATTGATGGAGTGATTTGCTGGATGGCAAATGAATTACTTCTAAGTTGATAAATTCATCAATTATGCTTATATCAGTATCAATATCATGAAACTATAGCTGTATTCTCTTTTAGAAATTATCTTACGTTATCTATCTGTAAAATGTGCTCTATATGGTCGTTTTGTTGAACGGTTGTTGATAATCATCAATCATTATTCTTAAGCAATATAATGAAAAATGCATATTTGTTTTGAATTGCTTACTGAAAAATTCAATGTTTGTGTGAAGTTAGCCTTTTATTTTTATATATAAATAATAATAAATAAGGATTATAAATTTTAATACATAAATTACATAAAATAAATGTTTCATATAATTTAATAAGTTAATGATAGGAAAAAATTTTGATTAATGATAGAGATTGTTATAAAAGTCAGTTTTTATTAACTACAAATAATTAACAAGAAAAATTTCAATATATGTACTATCATAATGAGCAAAAATTTTTGCTTAATACATAAGTGTGGGACCTTTTTTTAATACCTCATGGTCACAAATGTGATATTACAAAATTCGGAATTGCATTTTCTGGTCCGTAAAATATAATTCCAAGTTTTGCGTTACAACGTAATATGAAAATAATAAGCTAAAATAAATTTGATCACATTTTAGCTTGTAAAAATTGAACAGATAAACGATATCGCGATACGTATTTCCTCTGACGTCAAATGATAGTAAATCGAGGCATGATAAGGTTTATGATACCGTTTATTCAATTTCGATTTATAGATAATGTCAAGTTTTAATTGAAATTGCTGGTGAACATCGCAGTGAAAAATTGCGAGAAAAACTTTCCCATATATTGCTCCTCTTTGACTGGCCAAACGCCTTCCAGGAAACCGATATGTCCACCACGTGACGTTACCACTACGGCCACGTTTTTAGTTTGACTTATCTCTTTCAAAGGTATCGCTAAAATATTCAGATCGTTGAGTAAAATCGTATGAAAACGTTATCATTGTCGCGCTCTTGTCTCTCACCTTGTAACGGCTGAAACGGATCGTCTGCCGCGCTAAGGCACAAAGTCGGAACTTCGATCAGATGTAGCTTGTCGTGAAGCGTTGCATTACTATAATAATCTTCGACGTTTTTATATCCAAAGTGCCTTGCCGTAAAATTCGAATCGAATTCTCTTATTGTTTGGCTCTAGCGGATGTAATAATTCATAATAATTATTATGAGTCAGATTTAGAATGCCAGACAGATGATACCAAATATAAACAAAATTTATTTCTAAATTAAAAATCTTGATTGAATTCTTAAAAAAATCATTATCTGGAAATAAACTACGATATATCTATCTTTTTGTGAAATCATAATTGTAGCAATGCGAAAAGCAACAAAAAAAAAAACAAAAGGTAAAATATAAATTCCTAATAAGCAAGGAACATTCTGAAACATTTGCACAACATTATAGCAAAGTTACTACAATGTTGTTGAAATGTTTCTAAATGTTTCTTGCTTACTGGGTTACTGCTTTTAAAATAAAATTATATATATTCTGTTAAATTTTAACTTAAACTTATAAAAATATTACTGTCATTTCTACCAATAGATTAATAACTTTTTTTTAATTTACTCTTTATTTTTTTCTAATTCTTAGAACTAGAAAAACATAAAAAGTAAGTTAAATTAAAATTAAAGTTAATTTATTGATAGAAACGGGTTTATGTCAGAAAAGTTAAAAAAATTTAATATATTATCTAATCTTTCCATATAGTTATATTTGATAAAATCATACCTTAAGAACAGTATCTATATCTACGTTGAAAGGACCAACATCAGTATCTCTGTGTCGCTGTATCGTGCGACATAATTTGCTGGCTAGATGCTTATTTAGCATTCGATTAAAATAATTTTCCTCGATACTCTTCGTCGCTGCAAACACATTCCATGGCACCGAAATAATAAGGCACGCTCTCAATTTGAATCTTGCTGTTAAACCTTTCTGGGCTAAATAATTACCTAAGATCAACCTGCACATAGCAAAAAAAGACATGCAATGATTTACAAAAATGTTATTTATTAATGTATAACAAAATGCTCAAATATGTGTATTTTATCTTGTTAGACATTGTACAGGTATAAAATTTATTTATTAATTGAAGAATAAACTAGACATAAATATAATCTTTACCCTCCCATGGAAATCCCGGTTGCTCCGAGAGGTACATGTGGATGAAGTTTCTTCACGTGTTCTATGACTTCACTTAAATCATCACAGTTAGCGGCACAATACGTTCGTGGAGTCTAAAAGTAACAAAAGAAGGGAAAGATTTCCATTACAGATTATAGAAAACTCTTTTCGATTAAATCCCTGTTATAATAAAAAATAAATAAATAACGAGATAATTGGAAGAATTATCGTCGCCCATGTTCACAAATATGTCCTACCTTGAGTTGCAATCCACCTAAGCCTCTATTATTGAAAATCACACATCGTATTCCATTTTTTCTCACGGCTGATACCAGACATTTGATATATTCCGCTTGGCTACCGCCTGTAAGACCAGGTAAAATAACGACGATTGGCGAGGTGATCGAGCAGTCTTTCTCGGCCCAATCCAAAGCCACTTCACCACCGTCGGGCAAAGCAAGAATTTCTCTGCGTAACGTAAAGAGAGTGCTATACAATGGAATCTGATTGAACGCGCATTGTTTTTCAAATTTAAGTCTAGTACTCGACGAAATTGTTAGTTTAGTCTCCGTATATTTTTTCACTAACCTGCGATATTCGAGATATGGTAATATCTGGGATCTTAAAATACTGGCCATAATGGTCTGTGCTCGCGATTCGAAACACCATAACGTCGGCCAGAATTTATTTTGCACAAGTGGAATGTTGGTTTCCAAGAATGAACGGAATGGTCCATTGGCACAAACCAGCAAGGGTGTCTGAAAACATATAGTA